TATGTATGTATGGATGTGTAGGTAAGCGTGCAAACAAAATAAAATGTCTAACCATGTTGTCTATAAACGATGNGTTTTTTTAAAAAAAAAAGGTATCAAGCTCTTAAAAAATCACCCGTTACATACATACATATGTATGTATGGATGTGTAGGTAAGCGTGCAAACAAAATAAAATGTCTAACCATGTTGTCTATAAACGATGGCATTCTATCAAAGCGAGCGTACAGCAAGCAGGTCAATGGGCGTGATGATGCAATGAGGTGTAACGGAAGTGTGTCTGCGTCGATAGAGTGATGAGTTAACAGAAAAACGTGTGGCGATTTGCACGTGCTTACATTGATAAACACGTATACATATATGTATGTTTATACATGTATATTAATCTGCTAGAGTGAGAACTTGATGTTATAAATAAACTTTAGTTTGAGTTAGTCAGCAATTATACATATACATACATGCATATATAGTACATATTTATTAACATATTCGTACATATATTTTTGCTTAAGTAAGCAAAACGGTTCCTCTGTAGGTTTGTGTGTATGTATGCCATGGAATAGACTGCAATGTAATTGAGAGGAGCGAATTGGCAATGACTATACACACGCGATCGTATACTATATATATATATATTACCTAATTTGTATGCTAAATTAAGCTTAAAGTGCTGCTAATGATTTTAGAAGGACCATGCTGATGAGTGGTGTGCAAAAACAAAAGCAATAAATAACGATAAAGAGTGAGAGTCTGTCTCTCAAGGAGCAAAAAACGTTCGTTAAAGTATTTTCAAAGGGATTTTAAAGCTTCTTTGATAGAGAATAGGGAATACTTATTAATTATAGGTAATAAATTCTACTCCTGTACAGGCACGCCAAAATTGAATTTAACTTTTTAAACACCAACACCACTCAAAAACCTTTAAATACTCCAAATCTTTCTCTCTTTAAATCAATCCAGCTATTTCTGAGTGAACAGAGGTATCGTGTGGTGTCTGGTTTGATTTAAAGAAATTTAAAATTAACCTGTTCTGCTAAAAAGAGTTCCAACTTCTGAAAGTAAAACCGGTTTCAGCGTTGTGCCATCTTCAGTGTCATTTTTCGTTCTCAAAACTCCAAATTGTTTCCAAAATAAATCATCTTACCATCCTGTCGCAACTCTTTCGTTTGACTCTCATATTTTAACATTTCAATTTAAAAGTTAAATAAAGCCTACTCATCAAACAGGTGGCAACCTTAACCCTTTCAACAGACTGAAAAAACTATACTTTTAATTTATGGAATAATATATGTGACCTGGTCTACGGAAAGGGGGCTTAGGTGTCAAAAAAATCAATTTTCACTTTTTGGTTGATTCGGATGGAAGATGAGATGATTTTCACTTTTAACAGCTTTCTCACAGAAAACTTTTTTCGCACGTAAGCTCCCTTTTCGTAGACCAGGTCACATATATAAAATAAATTTGCATTGAAAATATAGCCAGTCTAAACTACAGAATTAAATTTTTTTTTAACTATTAAATTTTTTGCCGTTATCTTAAACAATTTTAAACGGAAAAATTAAAAACTTAACTTAGCATTTCATACGTTGTATTTTTGACAATTTTTTTCCGTGTAAAGCCTGAAACTGATGTGGCTCTGACTAAAATATTTGGTTTAAAATGCGTCAACATCAGGGGCCTGTTTTCTGTGTATTATTCATTTTATACAAAATTGGGACCGGAGCCTTAATAATGGATGAATTGCCTTTCCAACAGTACTTACCTATTACGTCTATATTTGGGACAACAAAATTAAACGGCTCTGATGATTTTTATGAAATTTTGTACATGGAAAATATTTTGGATTTTAAAATCGAGGGTATTTTAAAAATCTCGAATTCAAAAATTTTTTAATAGGGTTACCACCTATCGCATATTTGTTTAATTTTTTGTTTAGAAAAAAAATTAAAATATTACTATTCTATATACAAAACGTTATCCCTTAGGATAATACTGTGAGGTTGCCACTTATATTCGATTCTACACAATTTATCTAAAACATCGCAATATGGATATCAAATGTTGGTATGGTATTGTTGAGAACTTTGGTCAGAAAATATTTTTCATCAGAGTTGCCACGCTTCTATGTAATACAAATTTTTATTTTGTTAATTCCAATCAGCATTTTTTTTGTATGTATGCACAGTACATATACGCTCAAGATATCTACCATTCATTCGAGCGTATTGCGGAGTAGGGTTGCCACCTAAATTTAAGTAAGTAAGAAGCTTACTTAATAGATATCGAAATCCAATTTTTTTTACTGCCAAAATATTTTTTTAAAGCTGTCCAAATCTTGAAATCTCTAAAACGTATATGCACTCCTGGCAAAGCTCGGTCAACCTGGTACTACGGATTAACGGCGCAGTTAATCTGAACAAAATTGTGCGCTGACAAATGACAGTATTGCAGATTAAACGAGCAACGATGGCGAGGGTTCAAATTTTTTTAGCTCCTTTAATTATTACTTTTATTTATATATTTTTGTTTTATTTTATTTTTTCTTATATTAAGTCCAACAAATGTAGTGAGCATGCAAAAACAAAAAAAAAGAAAGTAAAATAAAATATATATTGAAAAAACATAAAAAAAGTTTAAGTAAAAATAATTTATAAAAATTTCGCGGAGGGAAGATCGAACCTGGGTGCTACTAACTTGTAATACATGGTTCTTATCATTCGGCTTCGTATAATTAAAACAAAATAATAAATTTAAAATAATAGGGTTTTCATTGCATTACATTTTAAAGTAGCCGGGTCTAATGACCACAGTCCATCAGTCGATCTTCCAATCTTTCTAGTGTTAAATAAGCTATGGCTGATATGGTCTTCAACTTTTCAATATTTTGTTTTTTTTTTTCGTTAAATAATTACTGATTTACATGCTTTTTAAAACCAAGTGAAATGCTTTAAGCTAATGCAAATTTTTTTCTTTCTCTTTGCAGCACATATTTAGGAAAACCTGAAACCAACGTTAAATACGTTTAGTATTTAGGCTCGTAATAAAGTGTGAACAAAATCAAAAGCATTGAAAATCGAAAATAAATATATAACAAAAAATTAGTAAACAATTAACATATTGGCGAAATTGTAACTAAGGCGGCAAAATGAAAAGCAAACAAAAGTCTTGAACTTTTCAGATTAACACTTCAAAGCCGCTCATTAAATGCCGGTTCAAGATGATCAACACCCTGAAAATTAATTGGTTTTAACTTTTTTCCACATTTTTAAAGGTGCGCTAGGCAAAAAAAAAATAAATAAATAATTAATCGTGAACGTGATATAAGTATTTGAGCGAAAATAAGCTTAGGCGCCTACCAAATAATAAATAAAAAGTTTTAAGTAACAGAGGAAAGGACCATTCGTTCGACCCGCCAATTTCATACGAACGACAACATAAAAACAACTACAAGGCATCAAAACCAACCGCTGACAAGCCGTGCAAAAGAAGTGTAAAATTGTGTTATGAAAAACGGTGGGAAAATTTTAGCCAAAAAAATTTGATCAAAAACATAGCAAAAAATTTAAGTTGTGCTGTACTCGAAATGACGGCAATAGCAGTGAAATTGCAGTACAGCCCCAACGCACATTGAAGCAACGAATTTAGCTACTTTGTCGCGACAACCAAACCACCAACACAACCAAGCAGCAAAACAAAACAACAATAGTCATTGCCACTCGCAGTCAGCTACAGACAGCAGGAAAAGCAACTACAAGGTGGAGCACTAAATGCACACCTCAGCGAATTGGGGTTGGGCGCATTTGTGTGAATGTGTGTTAAGGCGCTTTTGCTTGTTAGCCTCTTGCAAGTTTTCAAACGAGAGCACATACATACACACATACGAGTACATATGTTTGTATGCGTGCATATGCGCTGTTGCAGTGTGTACAGTGTACATGTGTGAGGTGAAAAGTGCAGCAGCAGTGCAGTGAACACTTGCATTCAAAATGCTTAACGGATTAAAACTTTTTACATTTTTTATGGCTGGCGCATGCGGCGGCGAACACTTGGATGAATTTCAACGGCGTTCAAGCACAACCGTCGTCATTAACCGAGAAAATCCCATTAGGTGAGTCGCGAATGAGTGAACATTGCGCTTTTTTTTTTGTATGTATGTATGTATGTTTTTATGTATGGATTTAAGTAAATATTTGTCTCAACATTAAGCAGAGTGCTGAATTAAGTTTGTCATCAAGTAAAGCCCAAGTGGCCTCTCAAAGGGTGTAACGCAATGATAGGGGAGCATAAATGATGTAAATAAGCTACGCGGTAAACTTGCACACATTCATATGAATGTACTTTTTCTTACACCCTCCGCATGTGTCAAGGCCTATTAATTAAAAAACAAAAAAAAAATTTAAAAAATGGTGATACAAGTATAACCTCATATGTATAGTATGTACATAGTTACATATGCATGCATAAGCCAAATTGTAGTCAAAATTATAAGATTTTTAAAATTAGTGAAATAATTGAGGTAGATAAGTACATGTTTTTAGTTTAGGTATTAAATTTAGCTTAAGCGAGGTTGCAGTACTTCTAAGTTGTATGCAGTTTTTTTAGTGTTTTTCAGAGCAGAAGGCAAATATGATTTTACACATTTTTGTTGCTATTTAAGTTTCTCATATTTTCTCACTTTTAATTGTGTAAATGTGAATATGTTTAGACCACTACTAAATAGGGCTGGGTGTAGTGGACCCGAATGGGATTTGATTCGATCAAATATTGATATTTTGATGAACATTTTTTTTATTTTTTATTATTATTTTATTTATTTTTTATTTTTCTTGAATTGGCTACAAAACTGCGCACTGAGAAATTTTTTAAAAATTCGCATCAATTAGTTGATATTTTGATGAACATTTTATTTTTATATTTTTTATTTATTTTTTGTTATTTTCTTGAACATTTTTTTTTACAATAGGCTACAAAACTGCGTGCCCCAAAATTTTTTAAAAATTCATATCAAAAAGTTGATATATTAATGAAATTTTATTTTTTTTATTGTTTCAATTTTTATAAATTTTCTCGAAAGTTTAAGACTTCAACAAACATGGTTTTTGTTTTAGAATTAATTAAATTTTTTTAAAAAAATTGGAATTAAGTAAGGAAGAAAAATTTCAAAACTTGTCAATACATTTTGCTGCTATTCTTGTGAACACAACTGTACATACATGCGTAATGCATTTGATTTATTTCAAACTAATGAATTGTTATATTGATAATGCCATATGCACTTAAACGTCTATTAGTTATTTTATGTTAAATCAATGCGCTGTTATTTGGTTCTTATACTGTTAATAAACGAAAAAAAGCTTAAAAATACGCAAATTTGTATGGCTTTGTACTGAATTTGATCCCAAGTATACTGATTATGTCAATAAAATATTTGGCTACCCTAGTTAGTATTCACTGGCAATAGTCAATATCCCCAAGATGTTCAGCCTGACATAATTCCTGTTATTAATTAGATTGAAAAAATTTCACGAAAAATGGTTGCCTTGTCTAAAACTATGGTTTCGAATGGCTCCAAGCGGTCCTTTCCAATCCTACGCCTACGGAGCTAAATTTCGCGCACGATTCATTTTGTATAGCCATATTTAGACATGGCGTCGTAGAGGCAGCTATTCTTTGGTCAGCCAAAATCACCTCTGCAATCGATGGAAAATTGTGGGGGTGAATTGGTCTCTCACGGGCTTTTTGCGGAATTTTACACTCTGCAAAGATCTCATACTGTTGAGTGTTCCGATCCTGAAGTTCCACTACTGGGGTGTAAACGATTTTCTAACTCTCTTATCTTGGTCTTGGAAAGTCGTCTCGCACACTTTCTTTTCTCCTTCAATGGTAGCTCGCATCGTCTTTGGCTTTGTGTGCTGCGTATTTATCGCTGCGTCACCAACGTAACCAACCACTTCTTTCGCATAGACTAGGAGATGAAATCCAAATGCAAATTTATGTCTTCTCTCTTGATTCTTTTAGCAAGGACATTTTGCAAGCAGCCTTTTGGTTATTTCGATGCTGATGTCTGGTACTACTAAATAAATAAAATATTCCCTGCCACTATAAAGTCGATCAAACTCTATCCGATTTGGGAGGTGTTGTGATGTAGCCCGAACTTACCATTACTTACCAGGTTACCGTACCTCACACTAGGGATGCTCACGTTGCCCAGAGCACATGAATGGAAATATACGAGTCCGGATTGAGGATAGCCATGCAGCTAAAACTGCATACCCAGAAGAACTATCAACCACATTGCACTCCTATTATACCTTGTATCCAACTAACCTTTGCTTGCTTGCTATCTAATTTAATTATTTTACGCTTACTTTCTCCAGCGCCAACAAATTTGTGTCAAAGCTTAGTAACCTAAAACAGCTGGAAGGGTGTCTTTTGTTTGAAATTCCCCACATCAAAGGTCTATATGCTGCAGCATATGTACAATAGCTACCTTTATAGCGAGGTATGAGTGCGCAACGCAAGTCTAAAATTAGGACAGCACAAACACTAACTTACAAACGCCAGCATTCTTCGACACATTCTTTCACAGACGCAAATTTGCACAAAGGTGGCTGGCAGAGAGAAGAGTTGCTGTGTGGTTGGTTTATTTTAAGCGCACATAATAACGTGGCATAGTGAAAGTGCGTCGACACTTATACATGCATATATATGTATGCGTATGTATTTGCCTGCATACATGCCACTTTTTACATACCCTGCAGGGAAACCGCGGACTGGCGAATCAAATTTCTAGTTCCGTACTAGGTCTTTATCGCCAAAAAAGAACCAGTCCGATAGGAACTAGATCCCCTCCAGTCTAAAATCGCCGAAAAGTGGTACTTTTAAAAAACTAATTTTTTCAGTTTTTTCACTACAAATCGATATCTAAAGTGACGAATTTAGAACTAATTCGGAACTATCGAATAAGGGATGCAGCGGGGGGCTTGTTTTCTTTACATAGATATGTGTTCGGCGGCTTTTTCGTTCAAATGCGCTTCTATTTTGCGCTTCGCAGATGCTTTTTCATAGCTTGGTAATACAAAACTAAAATTTGTGTTAACATTTCAACATCTTGAGACCGTCTGGAATATAAGAAATAACAGCGAGCACCTCTGCAAACTCAGCTACAGCTAAAGGTATGTAAACGCACATTTCTTCATTCTAACAAATTTAATTTCAAATTGAAAACACATTTCTTCCAAATAACTTAAAATCGCGCCACGGATGAACCAAAAAGATTGAAAAATCATGATACTTTTTTCTTTCGTCTGTCGATTTTCGAACTGGTTCGGAACTATAGAATTTAGGTCTAGTTCGGAACTATCGAAAAAGGGATGCAGCGGGGGGCAATTGACACTTCCTAGGACATCGCCATGTTAAATTCGCCAGTTGTTTGTATGCAAATGAGATTTATCGCGAACCAGTACTGGGTCTAAATGTACTAGAAGCGCACCAGTTCAGAACTAGAGATTTTCCCCACAGGGTAGTAACACCTGCACAGATCGCTCGTATTTATGCTAACGCTTTTGTTACTTTGACATGTCTACTGAATGTGCGGGCGCATTGGCTTCTCGCTGCCTCCCGGCAACACTTCTGTGTGTTGCCATTAAAAATAAGTAAATATTTATATGTACATATACAAATGTATGTATGTACTTACATAGTGTACACATAGTTATTTATCCTTATGGCCTTTGTTTCCCAACTCGTCTGCAACAAATTTTTATACGCCACCACAACGATGCTCGTTAAAGAAACAACAAAGCAGCAACAGCAGTACCAACAATAACAAAAACAACAACAACAACAACAACAACAACAACAACAACAACAACAACAACAGTGACATTAAAATTCTCCAACGTTTGTACCTTTCAACTGCAGTGGCAACCTGACTAACCAACCGGTTGTTAGTCGCTGGCTGGTGAAAGGCTTTCCCATAACAATTGCAGCATTAACACTTCTTTATGCAAACGACATTAGCTGCAAAATACTCGCTATGCAACTATGTATGGCGCTATTGCACGATACACGATCGAGGGTACGAAAATCGTTGAAAAGCTGTCGCACGGTGGGTTGCCTGCCTGGCGCGCCCGGTGAGCTAGCTGACTGTTGCTGCTCCAGCTCCAGTTCCAGTTCCAGCTTTCAGAGCTCGCTTGCTCACCTGTCGCTGCTGTATGTTGGCATTGTCAGTTGTGGTGTTGGTGGTCGCATTACCAGTGCTGCCACTTAATTCACAAGAGGCGGTAGTTGCGCTTTAGTGCGCTTAGTTCACTCGAAATGTCACTGTATGCATGCTGCTCTGGCGTAAATATGTGTATGCATGTGTGTGCAATTTTGCCTGGAGGAAATTTGGGTCGTAAAAATCAACACAAAAGCACATTTTAGTACTTTTCCGGTTGTGCCATTTATTTCTATAGAAAATGCTTTGCAACGCAGAGGAAAGGATATTTTTAGACAAGCATGTTTTGTTTAGCCCGGGAAGTGGCAGGCAACATAATATGTTTATATGTAAACCTACGCGTACATACATATATATTTTCTTATATAAACGTAACCTTTTTACAGCTTAAATATTTAAGCTTATAAAAGGATGCGCGATTAAAGAAAACTAGCCGCAGAAATTAATGTTTCAGACAGTGAACTTTTTTCTTCTGCAATGAAAAATTACTGAAGTGAAAATTGTACGTTTTCCGAAAGTTAAAAACTTGACATTTGCAGGATACTTCCAAAGCCCCATCGTAGTAAAGCTGCATTTTTGAATATTCAGAGATGCCAAGATTAGCTAAGATTTGGTTAAACGGTCTACGAAAGATGAGTAGGGTAAGCACTGCGACCAGTAGGTCTATTGGGCCCCGAGCTAATCATAATACTGAATCCAGCCCCAGAGACTCTAAGTATTGTAGAATGGATCCCAGGGGCAGGGAGTGTATGTGCTCTTCACTTGGCCATATATGTATGTCCCTTCGTCGTGAAACGGCCTCTCACTCATAAGTCGCTCGACCAGATCCCCAGATTAAACAATTGGCATCTGAGCCTCCTTGGGGAGGTTTTTAAGTAGCCTGTGTC